CTTAAAGCAACTCCAGGCTTCCTGGACTCCTTTGCCCTTCAGGACTGACTCCCAAGGGACTCCATCAATCAATCTCCCAAACAGACCAAAGTCTGCCTGTCCTCAGTCCAAGGTGTCAGTTCTGCTGCCCTCTCCTTCCTCCACCCACAATGGAAACCTCCATCATTTTGGGGTCTCTGTGCCCGATGGCTCCAACCACCCCATCCCCCATCAGTCACAGGATCATGGAATGGGTTGGGTTGGAAGGGACCTTAAAGAACCTTCTCTTCTCCAGGCTGAACAATTCCAATTCTCTCAGCCTTTCCTTGCAGAAGAGCTGCTCCATCCCTCTGATCACCTTGGTGGTCTCTTCTGGACTCACTCCAACAGGTCCACATCCTTCCTGTGCTGGGACCCCAGATCTGGAGGCAGCATTGCAGGGTTGACAATGTTACAGCCATGTGTGTTCCAGCAAGGACACTGTGGAACCTCCTGGAGTAAAGGGGCCCTTGTGACACTGTAGGACCTTCTGGACCCAAAGGAACCCTGGGACACTGTGGAATCTCATGGAATCAAGGGAGCATTGTGACAGTGTGAAAACTCATGGAATCAAGGGGCCCCTGTGACACTGTGGAATCTCATGAAACCAAGGGACCACTGTGATATGTGGGGCCTCCTAGAACCAAAGGAGTCCTGAGACATTTTGCAAACTCATGGAATCAAGGGTCCATTGTCACACTACAGAGCCTGACAAAGCCAAATGGACTCTGTGACTCTGTGGAACCTCCTGGAATCTTGTGGCCATTCCGACACTGGAAAATCTCAGGGATGCTGTCAGGTTCCCATTATTAAAAGACGCCTCTGTGTGTGGACCATGTGCCAAAGTCAGCAGTACAGGTTTGATTGAACAGTAAATATGAGGGAAAGAGAGAGGAAGGGAGTGGTGGGAAGACAGTGAGAGAGAGACAGAGATTCAGTAAATATATCACACCATGGAGATCCCTGAGGCGTCCCGCCGGTCCTTCTTCACCCTGGTCCGTCGGTGGTGGGTCCTGAAGTTGTGCTTCTGGGGGATCCCTTTTATACAGCCCAAAGCCCGGGTATTCAGGGGGGTAGATGCTGTTCCCACAACTTGGGCTGGCACGTGTACAAGGACTTGCTTCCTTTCCCACAGTTTGCCATGGTGGGAGTTTTGCCCGGTGTGCTTACAGTCTGTCGGTGGGAATCTTTGGATGGGTTCCCCACACCTGCCTTACCAACCCTGGCTTCCTGTTGTGGTTCTCTACTCTTTCCCACAGTCTGCACAGTGCATTTCAGTCCTGTGTGCTACTTCCAGAGCTTCACCTCCGTTTAGGCCCTGGAATTAAATGCCTTCCTTTTTGTCACCAGTGCTTCTGTGTTGTGGTGCCTTATGGGATTTCCCTTCTTTGACAGTGTTTTGAGACAGTTCCTTGTGCGCTTCAAGTGCACACACATGTGCACACACAGCAGTCTCACTACTGTCTGGCCCTCCAAAGAACACAAGACCTGGTGATTTGTAGCTCCCCCTTGTCCCAGTTTAAATGAGACAAGGGTCTTTTGCTGAGGATGAATTAGGAGGAAAAGACCCAAACTTCTCTTTCCAAACAATTATAAATCCAAAATTAAGAGGCTCCGATTGAAGGAAAAACAAATTATGGAAAAAGGGAAAATAACAGCCCTTTATTAAAAGGTATGTGTGTATTAACAGGAACACGGAAAAAAACCAAGTAAAATAACTAAGTAATACTCCTATACCCACCAATAATCCCCTTTAAGAACAAAACCGATAAACCGGCAAAAAGAAAATAGTTCAATTTCTTGCACCCTTTGGTGCTGTTCCAACCACAGTCAGCAGGGGGCGCCGGCGGGTCACTGGAGATGCAAAATTTGTAATGTCCTGTACCATTCACCAGGTGGCGCTGTTGGGTCACTGAAGGTGTAAAAAACTTGTAGTGTCCTATTGTAGTCACCAGGTGGCGCTGTTGGATCACTGGAGGAGTAGAACTTGTAATGTCCAGTGCCCGCCACCAGGTGGCGCTGTTGGATCCTTTGGCTGCCACCGGGAGGAGGGGAAGGGGAGGGAACAACAGCAATAAAACAGAAAGTTCTCCCAATGGAAGAAAACTCACAAACTTCAGCTGATTAGGGTCCGTTGTAAGCAGGGCTTGCAGTCAGCCAGAGGTAAGCCAAGAGCAGCAGCCAGAAACTCCCCTCCGACAGGGAAAAAAAACAAAGGAGCCCGGCAGTGTCTGCAGCCCGCAGCAGCCTCTCATCCCGGCAGAGAGAGAGCGAGCAAGTCTCCTCCCCCCCCAGCCTCCACCCCCTTCCAGTCACACATCAGCCAACTCCCCCCTTCGTTGTCAGGGCAACTAATCTCCATCATTAAGGGCTTCTTTTGTTCAACTAATTGGCCCATCACAGAGCACACACACACGGCAGGAGGAAAGGAAAGAAAAATTCCTTGCTAAAGAATACGAACTATGACACCCTCCAGTGGTTGGAACTTGGACCTCCCTCCATAGGCAGAGCTCAGAGCTCCCTTGTCCCAGAAAGGTTAAAGATATTGTACCTCATTCTGCCAAGACAACCCTTGGAAAAAAGTGTCAGTCTGTGTTTCCTGGGATAAGGGCACTAACTTGTCCTCTTCCAAAACCTTGGAGAGGTCACAGAGATCTCCCAGGAAGGAATTTGTGGCCTCAAGCATGTAACCCACGTATAGAAGCTGAGGACTCTGGGGTCAGTGGTGTGAAGATTGAGGACAGGAGGACAGTAGCCTGAGAGGTCTGGAAGGGGGGTGTCAGAGATGGTGGAGCATTTCTTCATGGCAGAAAACAGCCTAAGAAAGAACTAGTGCCACCAAGGGCACCTGGGGTGGCTCAGACTGATGACAAGAAGTAAGACATTTCCCTCCAAGGTCAGTGCTATGGTGCAATATGTCACAAAGGAGTCTGGATGAGCCCAAGGCTTTGTGTGCCCAAAGGAAGAGCCAGGGAGGACAGAGAGATGTCAGTGCAGGTAGGGATCAGTGAGGTGGGGAAGCCAGGGGGATGATGAGAGTCTGCAAGGGAAAGGGGCAGGGCATGGACACCGTAGGACAGCCTGGGCTGGACAGGAGAGAGGCACATGCAGAAGCTGAAAGGCCCTGACAGAACTACCTTCTGCAGGCCTTTGGCCATGACTGCTGTCTGTGCCACTGATGCCAGAGGGAGACAAGTGGCCCTTGAAGCCCTGGGGCCTCATGGCCTCCTTGTCCTGGCTCAGCAAGTCCTTTGGATTAAGGAAACAAATCAATGTTTATTCAGGATCAGAGCCATGTTTCCTTTGCTTGTCCATCCTTGTCATCACTGTCTGCAGTTTTCTGCTCTAACTGGAACTTGGGGACACATTCTCAGTTGTGTCCCTCAGTGAGACTCATTAGCACTGCAAGAAACTTTAGTGTTTCAATCTCACTTTGAGTTCTTAAAAAGTTGTTTGCACTTAGTCTCAGGGGCTGAGTCTCAACACCAAACCCCCCTAGGGGTGATGATGAAATGCCTGGGGCTGTTGCTGTGCTGCTGAGCTGGGTCGGGCTCCTGGCACACAGGGAGCTCCTGGCAAGTGGGCAGCGCTGCAGAGAGACAACTCTGCCCAGGAGCAGCTCCTCCCCACAGCCCAGCAGGGCTGAGGGCACTGCCAGGGCAGCTCTGGGACACTAGCAGGGCACAGACAGAGCTTCAAGGGGCTCAACAGTGGCAGGATGGCTGAGAGCTCGCTGCAGGAGGAATCTTGGCAGAGCTGCACACGGGGAGTCTGTGGCTGCAGGGCAGTGCAGGGGCAGCTCCTGGAGGCATCTCCCAAAGCTAGCCCAACCCCAGCTGATGGGATGGGTGAGGAGGCAGCTCTCAACCGGCCTGGGGAACTACTTCTAGGGCTGTGGGGAGAAGGGCTCTGGGCAAGGAGTAAACCTGGTAGGTGAGGGAGCATCTTTTCCATGTCTTGCTGTTGCAGGGTCACACCGGCTCACAGCTCCACATCACTACACTATATTTAATGGAGAATTTTTGGTAAAGTTCCGAAAAGACAGGGGCTACAGGAAAGGAATGAATCCTGATGTGTGTTTCCTGCTTAGGCATTGGAGCACAGGCATTGTTCTCTCAGCTCAGGAGGCTGCACTGAAATTCAAACCCTTTTACTCTCAGAGGTGAATATTTCATGCAGTCTCAGAAATGAGCACAGGATCCTGGACAGTGCTGCACCTTTCTCTTGGGGGTGGGCACTCTCCTGTGCTAGCCCTTGGCTTCCCTGCAGGAGGGGTCCTGTCCTGCTCTGTCCAGCACAGTTGCACCTCTGAACTGGCACAGGGGACACTTCACAGAGCTGCCCTTTCAAGCAGCGCTGCCCTACTCTCAGCACAGATCTTGGGGGAGTTTGTAAAGATTCATCTGTGTGTGAAGTCATCTTTAAGGCAGCACAAGGAAAAGTGCAGGGCAGATGGGAAACAGACTGACAGGCACTGCAGCTCTCCTGACTCTGCAATAAGCAACGGACAGCTCAGCCCTTCTGCCTGTCCTGTCTCAACACTCTTCAGATTTGTAATCAGAGAAATTTACCCCTAAAAAAAAAACCCAGGAGTTATGACTGTAACCAAAAAACCCAGTCAAAATTATTTTTAGGATACCTTGTGTCTCTCTTGTGCAGCCCAAATTGCTCCAAGACAACAGTACAGGAATTTAAATTTTCTATCCAAGCTGGGTTCCGTGTGACATCCCCTGTGATCATGAGAGCTGTCACAAACCAGCTCCATGTCTGCACTGCAGCAGAGCAAAACTGAGTCCTTGGCAGCACATGGGCAGAGCTCCTGCTCCTCACAGCACCCTCAGAGAGCACAAAGCAGAGAAAAGAAATGCCTTTACTTGGAGGGGATTTCCCCAAAACCTGCACTGGTTTTACTGAGAGGAGGCTGTCTTAATTGCTCCCTGTGCTTTCCTTTTCTGAACAGACCCTGTGCTAAGAAGTAGTCAATGCCCAACAGCAGCTCCATGGTCCAGTTCCTCCTGCTGGCATTGGCAGACAGGCGGGAGCTGCACTTCTGGCTCTTCCTGGGCATCTCCCTGGCTGCCCTCCTGGGCAATGACCTCATCCTCTGCGCCGTAGCCTGCGACCACTACCTGCACACCCCCAGGGAGTTCTTCCTGCTCCACCTCTCCCTCACAGACCTGGGCTTCATCTGCACCACTGTCCCCAAAGCCATGCACAACTCCCTCTGGGACACCAGGCACATCTCCTACACAGGATGTGCTGCAAAGGTCTTTTTTTTTCTGTTCTTCATCTCAACAGAGTTTTCTCTCCTCACCATCATGTGCTATGACCGCTATGTTGCCATCTGCAAACACCTGCACTACGGGACCCTCCCGGGCAGCAGGGCTTGTGCCCACTGGGTCGCAGCTGCCTGGGCCACTTGGTTTCTTAATGCTCTGCTGCACACAGCCAATACATTTTCCCTGCCCCTATGCCAGGGCAATGCCCTGGGCCAGTTCTTCTGTGAAATACCCCACCTCCTCAAGCTCTCCTGCTCACACTCAGGCTACCTCAGGGAACTTGGGCTTCTTGGGGTTAGTTGCTGTGTAGCATTTGGGTGTTTTGTTTTCATTGTTTTCTCCTAAGTGCAGATCTTCAGGGCTGTGCTGAGGATCCCTTTGGAGCAGGGGTGGCACAAAGCCTTTTCCACGTGCCTCCCTCACCTGGCCGTGGTCTCCCTGTTTGTCAACACTGGTACATTTGCCTACCTGAAGCCCCCCTCCATTTCCTCCCCTTCCCTAGATCTAATTGTGTCAGTTCTGTACTCAGTGCTACCTCCAGCACTGAACCCCCTTGTCTACAGCGTGAGGAATCAGGATCTCAAGGATGCCGTATCAGGGATTGTTGATATATTTTGGTCTGTGTTTGACCCAACCACCTTTGAAAGTTTTGTTCTTTGCCTGCCAAGTTCACTGATAAATGGGAGCTTCGTCCTTGGAGATAAGAGTTTTTTGTATAAACTGTTTTAATTGATGTTCTGTGATTGGCTCATTGTCTGTAGAGGATATTTGAAGGAGAAAGTGAAGAGGAGAAGATGAAGTAAAGCCCCCAGATCCAAATAGATAAGATCCCTTGAGTGAAACAGGTGAATTCCAAAGTTCACACTCATGCGCTGAAGGGGTCCAGTGAAAAACGGGGAGAGGGACCGAAGGTCTCTAGCTGGGCAGTGCTGACCACGCTGGCCCAGGTAGACGTCACTGGATAATTGGATAAAAATGCAGGTGGCTCGTGCTCTAGGGGCTCTCAAGCTTCACATGAAGGACAACTTTGCCTTTTGCGGGGACTCCTACTATCTTTGTGAGCCTGCTGACCCTCTGAGGATACAGCCTCTGCTATGGGGAATTCTGGTTATCCTGGGGTCGGTAAGACAACCTCATAAAACACACCTGCATGAGTGGGGGTTTCACTGAGGGCTTAGTTCACTCCTCTCCTTTCCTGTCTCTCGGGTTCCCATTTACTTTGCCACTTTTGTAATAAATATTGGGTTTATTGTTGAGCTTTCAGCAGTGTCTTGGTTTGCCATCTCGACATCCTTCTGAACTCACCCTTTTACAGATGCCCTGAGGAAAATAATGACTGGATGTTTTTCAGGAGCAATAAGCTGCATCTTTTCTTCTTCAGAACACTCACTGTGTAACCCTTTACTGGCCGAGCCTTCCATCTAAAGCTTTGGAGAGTGGCGGTGGGGGAGTTTCCTTATATTTTTTCCTCTTTTAATGTTGTTAACACAAAAGTTTATTCTTCATCCCATACCTAATTCACTCTCTACCTCTTCATTTTGACCCACAATTGTGTAAATGAGGAATCATTCTCTGTGTGCACTTTAATGAAAAAAAGTTCCTGCAGCAACTTCTTTGTCAGACATCCTACCTTTGTTATTCTGTACATGTGGAATCACAATCTCTAAGTATAATAAAGAATTCTTTTTTCCAGATTCTTCCTTCAAGAACTTCCCTGAAGCTCGAGGGCAGTGCCTGTGTGCAGAGGAGAAGGGGTAAAGTGTCCTGGCACAGGAGCACTGCCAGGGAGTAGCAGTTCTTGAGCTTTTCAGAGATGTTTTTTTTTCCACTGCCTCCCTCTCATCTCTGCTCTTTGCCCAAGGCCTGAGTGCTCTGGCACCTCAGTCACTGCTGTGTGGCAATCCTGTGACCATGGGTAGGGAAAGGCCCTGGACACTGCTAGCACAGAGCTGGGCTCCTTAACATCATTTCCATCATTAAAGGGCAGTTCCTGAAGACTTTGTTCTTTTTAAAAGGTTGGTGCAAAGAACAAGGCCAAGGAACAGACTCTCCAAAGTCTCCTTGCTTTGTTTGTTTCCCCATTCAGTCCGTGCAGGGAGAGAAGGGACTGACTGTGTTACTTCAGGGACTGAGGGCTGGGTCAGATGTTCTGTGTTGGTGGCCAGTGGCAAATGGTCTCCAAGTCACCTGCCTGGGGCTCTGCAGCTTGTGCTGGCTCTGATGGCAGGTGAGGCCTTGTCTGTAGGAAATGAGGAACTGCAGAAGAGCACAGAGGATCTGCAGGGACAACCCATCTCATACAGTCAGCAGTGAGTGGAACCCTGTAGCAGAATCCTGCCCAGGGTGGAGTCACCCAGAGCTAAAGTACTAAATCTCCCTGGGAACTGGTAAAGGAGAGTTCTGCAACCCCAGGGGATGCAGCAGGAACAGAGAAAGGACTCTGGCCAGTGACTCCTCTTCCCCTCAGTGAACTCCCACTGTGCCTCCCCAGTTCAGGGAGGGTTGTACCGGGGCCAGGGGTGGGCTTTCCAGGAAGGTGTCATGAAGAACTCTCCAGCCCAAAGGCTGGATGGAGGGGAGCCCTCTCCTGTCCTCTGTGCCATTGGAAACAACCCATGGTCCTGCCCAGCCTTGTTCTTGGCTACTGAGCCTTCCAAGAATATGGAAGAGGGTAGAGAGGAGTGATCCCTATCCTGCTGCCTTGGCTTCCCACCCTGACCAGCACGGCCTGTGCAGGGTCACCCCAGGGTGCCACAACCCCTCCCTCTGCAGAGTAGCACCTCCAGCTCAGGGCCCTGCAGGGATCACAGGTTGGGATCTGCAACTGGCCAAGGCAGCCTGGACACACTGCCCTGGGGAAAGGGATGTCCCTGGAGAAGAGCAAGACAGCATTTCTGTGCCTACAGAGAGGAATCCAAAGCACCAAGAAACTTCTTTCTGCAGCCCCCCTTGGGACAGGCTGCTCTGTCCCTGGGCCAGGACTCCGTGCTGGGCTGGGGAGAGTGACTGGCACTGAGGGGCACAGCCAGGCTGTGCTGGGCATCTCCTGCAGATGACACCAGGGCTCCTGCAGTTTCCCTGACCTCCATTTCCTCCTGCCATGGTGAGTGCCCAACCCCTGAGCTGATGGGGATGCTGAGACTCCTCTCTGTTCCCCAGGAGCTTCTGTGCCCTTCAGAGGGGCTGGGACTGTGGGGGGAGTGCCCAGAGCTCTTTAGCACCCTGGGGTGGGCAGTGCTGTGGGGCCAGAGCAGACTTGACCACTCCACCAGTTGACCTCTAGAATGAAATCACTTCTAATTTTCTCCTCAAGAACCATAAGAATATGTGTTGTGTCCTGAGCACTAAACTGGAACTGTGGGATAATAGAAAAGGTTTTGGTGTCAGGGATATTGAGAAGGCTGGGAAGTGTCACTGGGAGACCTCTCCCAACCCCTTGCAAAGGCCAGAGCCATCGCAGAGGTTCTTGGGGCCTTGGCAATGGCACACATGGAACCAGTCTGTAAACAGGGCAGCAAGGAGGCTTGACAGAGTTCCAGACTGCTCAGGCTCAGCAGGGAAGGGGACATGGCAAGTCCTCCTGCAACCATTCCCTGGCATGGGAATGACAAGGCAGGGATTGCAGAACCCCTGTGGGAGGGAAAATAAGGGGATGTTTTGTGCCCAGACTTCATCAGGGCCTTTGACGTGGCATCCTGTGGTTTCTTTAGAGCCAGACTAGTGACAGCTGCACTGGACAAGTAAAACACGTGGTGGGTGGGAAGTTGAAGGACTGATGAGGGTCAAAAGTCATGGCACAAAGCCCTCTTGGAAACAACTCCCAGGTGACATCCCTCAGGGACCAACCCTTGACCATTCCTATGGAACTTTTTTATTATGTCTCTGAATGATGGGATGAAATGCACTTTCCACTCCTTTGTGGATGATGCCAAGTTGCAGCAAGTCTGAGAAATCTCATCTAGTTAATGGTGACTTGTACAAAATATCTGGTCAAGATGACTGAGTTGGATAAACTTGTCTTGCCATCAGGTGCCCACCAAGGCACAAGACAATGAAGAAAAATCTCATGGGTCAGAGGAAAGGCAATTCCAAAGGGGGCCAAAAAAGAGCAAAGACGACCAAACCAGACCCAAGTGAACCCAGAATGAGAGAAAATGCTGAGTTGGAAGGGACCCACAAGGATCATCCAGTCCAACCATCCCCAGGGGTCACACCATGAGCCTGAGAGTACTATGCAAAAACTTCTTGAGCTCTGTCAGGCTTAGTGTTGTGCCCGCTGCCCTGGGGAGCCTGTTCAGTGCCCAACCACCCTCTGGGGGGAGAACCTTTTTCTAAGATCCAACCTAAGCCTGCCCTGACACAGCTCCAGGCCATTCCCTGGGTCCTGTCCCTGGTCCCCCCAGAGCAGAACTCAGGGCCTGACCCTCAGCAGGAAGTTGGAACTGCAGTGAGGTCTCCCCTCAGTGTCCTCTTCTCCAGCTGAACACACCAAGTGTCCTCACACAACTTCCCCTCGAGACCCTTCCCCATCTTCGTTTACCTCCTTTGGACTCTAATGGCTCAATCTCTCCCTTCCATTGTGTGCACCAAACTGCCCCAGTCTTGCAGGTGAGGCTTCCCCAGGGCAGAGCAGAGTGGGACAATCCCCTCCCTGGTCTGGTTGCCATGCTGGACCTGATGCCCCCAGGACAGGGTTGGCCCTCCTGGCTGCCAGGGCACTGCTGACTCAGGGACAACTGGCCACCCACCAGCACCCCCAGGGCCCTTTCCCGGCACTGCTTCCCAGCCTCTCATTCCCAGTGTGTCCATCCATCTGGGGTTGCCCCATCCAAGGCCAGAATACAGTCCTTCCCCATTGTGAAATTCTCCGGGCTCCTAAAGAGCTGGGAAGTCACTTGCTGTCATGGGGGCTCTATGGTGACCTCCCAGGGGTCGTCCTGCAGAATCTCCTGGAATCAAGGCCATGTGGGGGCAGTGCAGGGCCATGGGGAGTTAAGGGGTCATTGTGACACTGGGGAAACTCATGGAATAAAGGGGCCATTGTGACACTGCAGGGCTGTCGTGGTTGAGGTGGAACGACACGGTTTCAGGCAGTCGAGAACCAGGAACAGGAACCTTTTATTACAGCAGTGTAGCTACTTTTATACAGTTTTAGCTGACACATGTACAAGCATCATTGGTTTACTAGTAAGATAAATATCCCACAATTGGACATACATCCACGCATGTCTTAGAGCAATGACTCAGTATTCTTGACAGGAAACCCATTCTGTGTCACAGTCCTTTCTGTCTGTGGCTGACATCTTGCCAGGTGTAGATGTTCCATCTTTGATTCCTCGGCTTACACAGAGACCCCAGAACCAGTTGGGCTCTCCCATACAGGGTCTCATGGACCCTTGTCTGTTGGGAAACACAAAGGGATTTGTGTGAGTGTTTCACTGACAGTTTTGAGAGGGACCTTTACACACCCAGATACTGATGTGTCCACACATCTCTGCCTGGGTGTGGGTGTGAATTGACTATGGTGTGAGTGTTGTTATTGTGAATCTATAATTCAGTCGCTATTAAATTGTAGTAAATGTTATTGAATCCCTTGATAACTGTTAAATTGGTCAATGATTTGGTGCTACTAATCTCTTTTGATACTAATCTCTTATCTTTGTGTCCAAATTCTTTGCACCCTGACCCTCTTGCATCCCAAGGCTCTCTGTAAATCACTCCCTTTCATAAACAATATATATTTTTCATGAGGACCACTTTAAAATTTTCCTCCTTAACTAAACTACAAAACAACTCCAATTAGTTGTTGAAGATGTGAAAACATAAAGACAATTAAAGGAAGGAAAATAATTTGGTTTTCTGTGTTTTAGTGATCCCCACAGTGTTTTTAGAGACAAGTCCATGATTCTCAAGTACTGAGAGAAGATTGAAGAAGTTGCTCAAGAAGTCAGAAGCCAAACTCCCAGTCCCTTGAAGCATTCCTGGGCCCCACTGAGGGCAGGCACTGACAAAGCCTCCCCAGGGACTCCTTAGAGCCGATCCTTGGAGGCCATGAGTGCAGGGAGACAAAGGCTCTGGGCAGGCCCCTGCAATGCTGAGCAAAGCCTGGCTTGGTTTTGTGGAGCAGAAAGGCCAAGACCTGAGCCCCAGGCCCTGGCACAGCAGATCCTGTCCCTATCGGGTGCCTCAGGGCTGTTTGTGGGGTAGTGGAATGGGAGGGGGAGTGTCATGGTTTTTCTATTTCTTGGAAACTAGACAGGAATTTTTCCCTTCCCCCTGCCCACTGCATGCAGAGTTGTTAAGTGGGCACTTACGGCACACAAAAGAAGTGGTTTCCTGGTTAATTGCTCAGAACTTAGTCTCCTAGGAAATGGGGGAGATGAGGGGCTCCTCTTTACTTTTTCTCTCGTCTCCTGGGAAATGGGGGGGAGGAGTTTTTTTGGGCTGACTGCGGAGGTTGGAACAAGGTCAGAGTGGAAGCTCAGTGGTTCCTGTTGTTCTCGACCTGCTTGCCAGCTACGGACCCTGCTTGGATTTTTCATCAGAGAGGAGCTGTTTTCCTGGAGGTTTTTTCCCCTTCCCCATTTCCATTTGTTTTTTTTTCCTGGCGGTGGTCCTTCTGCACATCAGGGCGAGAGAGAGGACTGTACCACACAATTCGACCAGCCAGAGTGAGTTTGGGGCTTTTTTTCATTGGGAGTACTTTCTTTTTGTTGTTGTTTCCCTTCCCCCTCTCCCTCTCCCCTTTCCCAGTGTGTGGGAAGGGGAGGGAAACTAATTTTTTTTTGGTTTCTCCAACACACCCTGGAGGGTGTTATCCCCACGTGGCAACAACCAGTGATTCCACAGCGCCCCCTGCTGGACGACATAAAGAACTGCAGGCTCTGCATCTCCAGTGATCCAACAACTCCACATGGTACTGGCACAGGACACTATAAGCTCTGCATCTTCAATGACCCAACGGCGCCCCCTGTTAAATGTTGTTAGAATTGCACCAAAGGACGCAACTGAACTGTTTACTTTTTTTTTCTTTACTTGTTTATTGGTGTGTTTTGAAGGGGATTGTTTGTGGGTATAGGAGTATTGTTTGGTTGTTTTACTTGTTTTCTTTTGTTGTTTCTTCCAATGTACACATACTTTTTAATAAAGGGATGTTATTTTTCCTTTTCCATAAATTTTTTCCTTCAATTGGAGCCTCTTAATTCCTGATTTATAATTGCTTAGAGGGAGGAGTTTGGGTCTTTTCTCATAACTCATCCTCAGTAAAACACCTGTGTCTCATTTAAACTGGGACATCTACACAAACCTTAAAGGGGTTAAAAGGTATTTTATCACATCACTCTATATTATATCACATAAATAACCCATATGGATCAATAGGTAGTTCTGTTTCATGAGCTTTCTTGAGCCCTGTGTCCCTTGAATCAGCTCCAAATGATAAAATTTAGGTTTTTCAGGACAATCTAAAGGTGGGCCAACCAGTCATGGTCAAATTACCCCAAACTGGGATTGCACTCATGACTCAGAAAGATAATCCAGGACAATTAGCCTGGGTGGCTACTGACTCTAATGACCACCAACACAGAATCAGTTCCAGATGGATACTTACTAGGTATGGGTTTAAAGATTGTTCTCTTGTAATTTTGCAATACCACTGCTAGTTGGTGCTCACCAACAAGGTGCTCTGCAGCACCTCCAAGCCCAAGCAACAGCCAGGGCAGGGGCCATGCTTTAAGGTGTTTACCAACCGTGAGATTGGGGGGCAGGGGAGATAAAATCACCCAAAGCCCTGTTGGAGTTGGAGGGTAATAAAGACTGCTGGTGTCACATAAGCTGCCTCTTTGTTCCCTACTCAGCTCTGGACAAGGAGGTGTTGCCTTCCCTTCCCTGCCAGCCTCCCCTGCCATGCCATCAGAGTTGGTTCCAGCCCCTGAGAGGTGGGGACCATTGTTGCAGCAACCAGGCTGGGTCGAGGACTTGTCCCATCACAACCCCAGTCCATGGTTGCTGGTGCCTGCAGGGGACCCCTACCTCTGCCCAGTGCCACCATTTGCTATTTTGTTGCCACTGTTCCATGGTGGCTGCCATTACTGTCACTGTAGGCAATAAAGCCCACCAGAGCCACCTTTTGGCCACTGCTGTAACTGCACCAAAGGAAACAGCAGTTACTGGTTCAGCAACACATTAGTGGACAAAGATACTTTTCTGGGTGATATTCTCTCTCTCTTATTGTGTTTATAGTTTATTTTTGGTTTTTTTTGCCTTTTGGTTTTCAGTAAATATTGTTACTTTGTTTCTACTTCATTCCTCATGAGTCTCAATTTATTTTTAAATTTTCATTAAGTCCTTGAAAAGAGGGGTCCCTATTTCATCTAAGATCCCATTTCCCTGGCAACATTGTCTAAAAACCAAGACAATAACTAACTTTCCTAATGTGGGGCAAGAGAGGAAAGATAGAAACAAAATGACATTTTTGAGCAATATTTTTGTGTATTGCATATAGAACCACTCAGACATCATGGGGTCCTACTTGTTCTGGTTCTTCTGGCATGTATCCCTGCCTATGGGTCTCCCATTCACCGTCCCTTATCTCAGCATGGGTCCTATAACCAAGGCAACTGTGAGTGTTCATAAGATGGATCTGTGGGGTGGCAAATTCTCTTCATGTTAAAGAGACCATATTCATGCTGATGCTTCTGACAAGTTTTGTCACTACAGTCCACTATGTATTTAGAGACAGGTTGAGGTTTCATTGGTTAACTCTCCCATGAGCTACCCCATGTCATGGTTTTGCTTGTTCTGGGAAACTAAGCAGGAATTTTCCCTTCCCCCTGCCCACTGTGTGAAAGGGATGTTGAATAGGCAGGTTGGTTGTGCCTTGGGCAATGGACTAACACAAAAGAGGTGGTTGGAAAAGCCACATTCCAAGTTGATGGCCCTCAGGAGTATTTTTTACATTTTTTTCTCCTCTCCTGGGAAATGGCATGGACTTCATTGTTGGTTGAGTTGGGACAAGGTCTGGGTGGCAGGAGCTCCAAGGTGGTTTTGTTCTCAGCCTGGCTGCCTGGCTAGTTCATTTCTACCCAGCTTGGAACCTACTTGGATTTTCATCACAGAGGAACTGTTCAGGAAGGAGGTCACCTTCTTCCCTCCTTCATTCTCATTTTTTTTGTTTTTTTTGGCAGCGACTCCTGTGCGCATCAAAGCAGAGGGGAAGCCACGCCATGCGTTCTACCCGCAGACAGTAAGTTCCTGTTGGGAAGAACTTTTCTTTCTTTCCCTCCTTTTACCCCTTTCCCCATGAGGGGGACAGAAGACCTCCATTTTTGACTTCTCCAGCACACCTGAGGGGCCCCCACGTGACCACCATCAGTGATCTAACAGTGCCCCCTGCTGGTTGGCACAGAACACAGCAGGCTCTGCATCTCCAGTGATCCAACAGCCCCCCCCTGCTGACTGTGGTTAGAATTGCACCAAAGGACACAACTGAACTGTTTACCTTTTCTTTTTAAAGGGCTTATTTTTGGGTATAGCATTATTGTTTGGTTGTTTTATTTGTGTTCTTTTGTTGTTCTGCCAATACACATATATCTTTTAATAAGAGCTGTTATTTTTCCTTTTTCCACATTTTTCTCAATTGGAGCCTCTTAATTTCGGATTTACAATTGCTTAGAGGGAGGAGTTGGGGTCTTCCTCATAACTCATCCTCAGCAAAATACTTGTGTCTCATTAAAGTGAGACACCTCAAGATCTACTCCAGAGGTGTAGTGGTTTTGAGACTAGGCCTTCCTTGGTGACCAGGTTGTAACCAAGGAACCAAGGCCATGTTCCCAGTATTCCATACGATTTTTACATAAGCAAGAGTATAAATAAGAAGAGAGAGGAAACTCTCGCTCTCTTTCTTCCGGCGGACTGAAGGCGAAGATAGCTTTGTTGTCACTCTGCCTGGGCGAGGGAGTGAGGTCTAGTGCATCTGGTTGGCCTTGAGAGGCAGAGAGTGCCAGCAGTTGTGTGGTGTGGCTCACTGTCTCTGGAAGGAAGTATTTGCATTGTATCCCTTTTTATCCTTTTTCCCCTTTTCCCTTTCCCTTCCCTTTTCCCTTTTTAGGGGTTCCCTGTATATAATTTTCTCTATATATATATAAATCTTCCACTTGAAATTCAGTTCGGTTGGGGTTCTTTTGATTTTCTTTTTTGTGATCTTTTCGGTCAGCTGGGAGAGAGCGAGAGGGAGGGGGAAGGTTTTATCCCTGGGATCCAGGCACTTGGCTAGGAGCCAAGTCCAACCTGGGACAAGAGGTTAGAGATGTTGCCCAGCAGTCTGCTCCACAGGCTGAGGACACTGTCAAAAACCCTACCCCAGGGGCTGCTGACACCCCAAAACAGCCTGCTCCAGTCATGAACCACCCTGATTGAATGGGAGTGTGGGAAGAGATAGGCTAAGTGTTGAAGGAACGTTCCCCGATATCTTGGAAGTTCCCCCCTAACCAAACACAAATCCCTAGTAAGATTGCAGAGTAATTGAAAGAACACCCTTCCAGCAATTCCAGAAAGGCCCAACTCATTGCAATATGCTGGACCCTAGTCAATGCTTACTGCACCATTGTCTTAGCTGTACAACACCATCTACAGTCAGAAGGGAAAGATAGTGCAGCAGGAAAACCAATGGACATCATGACTGCCCAGCCTCCAGCCAAACCAGGAGGGCAGCCACAGCCAGCAGTAGTTGCCTCCATGCAAAAGAGAAAGTATAAAATTAAGTCCGTACACCTGGTCGACGACTACAGGGAACTAGGACCTTCAGGGCCTTCACAGTTACTGGAGGAATCAGAGACTGAGATCATCACTGAGTCCCTTTCCTTAGACATACTGCGTAATCTGTGAAAAGATCTCATTTGACAACAAGAAGAGCCCATAGTGACAAGGCTGCTCCACATTTGGTTCACCTCTGGTGGCAGTACCATCCTGGACAGTTCTGATGATGCCAAAACTGCAGTATCAGTACACTGAAGCAAGACACCTAGGATCCCTGCCTCAAAATTCAGGTATTGATCAGGGGTTTCTAAAGATGCAAGAACCACTCAGTCTCTGGAAATGCCTCCTAGTGAGTGTGAAGGAGAGATACATCTGTGAGGAAGATCTGCAGATGCAGCAAGGCTCCTGGAAGACCATGGAACAGGGGATCCAATGACTCAGAGACCTAACTGTGCTCCATATACTCTTCAACAATGGGACAGACTTCAGAAGTCCTGACAACATCAGGTATAGGTTCCAGATGTGTATAAAACTTGCACAACTCAGATCAGAGATGTATGCATGTTTCCTGGCCTTGCTTCAATGATTTGAAGAACAGGAAACAGTGGGCACCATGGCAAGGAAGTTGCTGGTGTATGAGGACACTGTCAACGGTACATCCCAAACCCAAGTCTCATTCATGGAAAAACTGGCTGAGGACCTCCAGAATCTCAAAGAAGAGCTCACTAACCAAATCAAGGTCAGCCCCAAAACCTTAAAGAGAAGATTAAGGAGAACAGCTTCCATGTTGCACCAGTGCAAACCAGAGCTCCTGAGGTCAGAAAGAGATGCTCCCCAGCTGGGGGAAGGGACTACTCCCCATGAACCAACTTGTGGTACTTCCTACTCAAGAATGGAGAAGACATGGATCTTTGTGACAGGAAACCTACCCGTGCCCTAGTAGCCTGAGTACAGGAACTGAAGGAGAAAGCAAATGCAAAAGGGAAGTCAGCAAGGGTGAGTGCAGTGCCAGTTTCTCATGGGCAAGAGTTAAGGCAAAACAGACAGGACTATGACACATCTAACTGACTAGAAGGTACCTCCCAGATGTATTCACAGGGAGGTAGGAGCAGCTATGATGATGACTAAGATTAGAGAGGCTCTACCTCCAGTCAGGGGGAGGAAAGGGACAATAGGATCTACTGGGTTGTGTGGATCTGATGGCCTGGCATGTCAGAACCACAAGAATTCAAGGCCTTGGTTGACACGTGCTCAATGTACTTTAATGCCATCAGGACATGTGGAGCTGGAATCTATTTCTATTTCTGGGATGACAGGGGGTTCTCAAGAGCTGTCAGTCTTAGAAACTGGAGTGAGTTTGACTGGGAAAGACTGGCAGAAACACCCCATTGTGACTGGTCCAGGCACCCCATGTATCCTGGGCATGCACTATCTCAGGAATGGGTACTTCAGACCCAAAAGGACATCCATGGGCCTTTGGAATTGCTGCTGTGGAGACAGAAAGGATTAAACAATTGAACACTTTGCCTGGTCTGTCAGAAAACCCTTCTGTTGTAGGACTCTTGAAGGTAGAAGAACAGCAAGTACTGATTGCCACCTCAACAGTGCATTGCTGGCAGTACCAAACAGATAGAGACTCCATGATCCCCATCCACAAAATGATCTGTGAGCTGGAGAGCCAAGGAGTGCTCAGCAAGAATTATTCCCCCTTCAACAGCCTTATTTGTCCTGTGTGTAAGTCTGATGGAGAATGGAGATTGACAGTGGACTATTGTGGCTTGAATGAGGTTACCCTATCACTGAGCACCACTATGTTGGACATGCTGGAGCTTCAGTATGAACTGGAATCCAAGGCAGCAAAGTGGTGCCACCATTGACATTGCAAATGCATTTTTCTCCATTCCCTTAGCAGTAGAGTGTAGGCCAGAATTTGCTTTCACCTGGAGGGAGGGGTGTGCAGTAAATTTGGAACCAACTGCCCCAGGAGTGGAAACACAGTCCCACCATCTGTCATGGACTGATCCAGGCTACACTAGAGAAGGATGAGGCTCCAGAACACCTGCAATACATCAATGACATAATCGTGTGGGGAAACATGGCAGAAGTCTTCGAGAAAGGAGAGAAGATCATCCGGATCGTCTTGAAAGCCAGCTTTGCCATGAAAAAGAGTAAGGTCAAGGGACCTGCCTAAGAAATCCAGTTCCTGGAAGTGAAGTGGCAAGATGGATGACGTCAGATCCTGGCAGAGGTAATTAACAAGACTGAAACAATGTACCCGCCAACCAGTAAGAAGGAAATGCAAGCTCTTCTAGGTGCCATAGGTTTCTGGAGGATGCACAACCCAGAATACAGTTAGATCGTAAGCCTTCTCTACTTGGTAATCCGCAAGAAGAATGATCTCCAGGGAGGCCTCGAACAGCAACAAACCTTTGACCAGATCAAACAGGACATTGCTTACACAGTAGCCCTTGACCCAGTCAGCACAGGACCAGAGGTGATGAATGTGCTCTACTGTGCAGCTGGGGATAATGGTCCTTCCAGGAGCCTCTGGCAGAAGGTGCCTGGGGAGACTCAAGGTTGACCCCTTGGATTCTGGAGCCAAGGCTAGAGAGGGTCTGAGGCCAACTATAACCCAACAGAGAAGGAGATTCTAGCAGCCTATGAAGGAGTTCAAGCCACCTCAGAAGTGATTGGCATGGAAGCACCCCGACTACCCCACTGGGGTGGATGTTCAGAGGAAAGACTCCCTCCATGCATCATGCTACTGATGCTACATGGAGTGAGTGGATTGCTTTGATCACACTGCACCTGTATTGGAAACCCAAATCACCCTGGGATTTTGGAAATAATCACAAACTGGCCTGAAGGTAGGAACTTTGGTCCATCAGATGAAGAGGAAGAACAGGTGACAAGTGCTGAAGAAGCTCCACCATACAATCAACTACCAGAAGATGCAACACATTACACTCTTTTCACTAACAGTTCCTGTTGCATCATAGGGAGAAACCAAAAATGGAAAGCAGCTCTATGGAACTCCACACAACAAGTCACAGAAGCCACTGAAGGACAAGGTGGATAGAGTCAATTTGAAGAGCTCAGAGCCGTCCAACTGGCCCTGGACATTGCCAAAGGAGAGAAGTGGCCAAGGCTTTCCCTCTACACTGACTCGTGGATTGTGGCCAATGCTCTGTGGGAGGGTGGCTAGACAGATGGAATAAGGCCAATGGGAAACACAAAGGAAAACCCCTCTGGGCTGCCGAAATGTGGCAAGACATCATGTCCCAGATAGAGAAGTTGATCATGAGAGTTCACCATGTAGATGCACGTGCCCAAAAGCTGAACTAACGAGGAACATTGTAACAACAAACAGGCAGGATGAGCTGCACAAATCAAAGTGTCACAGGTAGCTCTAGACTGGTAGCACAAGGGAGAGGTGTTTGTAGCTTGATGGGCCCATGATGTCTCAGGTCAACAGGGAAGGGATGCCACATACAGATGGGCATGAGACTGAGGGGTAGATTTAACCATGGACACTATCTAACAGGTTATCCAGGACTGTGAGACATGCCCTGCAATCAATCAGGCTAAGAGAGTGAAGCCCCTGTGGTATGGTGGGAGATGGACCAAGTATAGATATGGAGAGGCCTGGCAGATTGATTACATCATACTGCTGCTAAACTGCTATGTGCTTACCATGGTGGAAGTAACCATCGGATGGCTGGAGACACAGCTGCTACCTCATGACACTGCCTGAAACACCATCCTGGGCCTTGAAAAGCAAGTCCTGTGGTGACATGGCACCTCAGAACAAATTGAGTCAGACAATGGGACTCATTTCAAGAATAACTTAGTTACCACCTGGTCTAAAGAGCATGACATTGAGTGGCTATATCATATGCCCTATCATGCACCAGCCACCAGAAAGGCTGAACAGTGTAATGGACTGTTGAAAACTACCTTGAAGGCATTGGGTGGGGTGTGGGGTGCTTAACTAATAAAAAGCATCATGAACAAACCATACAAATAGGCCTCAATCTGTCTTAGCAAGAGGTCTGCTTGCAGGTTGCGGGAAAAGTACTGGCATTGATATCAGACTGCAAGAATGTAAACTATTGAGATAATAAGGAGGAGTTTTTGGAGAAAGACAATAATTTCATGCCTCGTGCATAGATGCCCATACCCAATGATAAGGGGGTTAGGGATACGTTTGCCTCGTGATTTACAACATTTAACCAATGGTTTGAAGGTGTTCATGTGCTGCAGGGCTCTGAGGGTATTTAAGAGCCTATGTTATGTAAATAAAGTGGAACATTTGCTTAAACCATATTGGTTTGGGTGTGTTTGTTCACCGTGAGCTCCTCTGCCAAGAGTGGGGGGGTCTTTCAAACATTAGGATCAGCATGTTGCAAAGGCTATGTGGCTAGTCAACACTAGAGGCTCTGTCAGTTGAGCCGGCCCTGCCCAATCAGAGTGCTTTCACACCGTAGATGAAGTCCCCTTAGTGCACCTGAGAGGTATGTTAGGGAAAACGGTTTGGATTAGTCCTGCCTCAAGCAAAGACAAACCCATTCACAAGATTGTTTTTGCTCAAGGACCAGGTTGCACTTGGGGGGTGATGCAGAAAGATGGGGAAACACGTTGTACACCTCAGGGGGACCAAATTTTGGGGTAAACTGTCTATAACACTGTGCCTGTATGCATATATTTGTAAATGTGTATATAGTTGAAAAGTTTAAATCCTATATAGCATTTTGGTATGGAACAATTTGGGTTGGATGTCATGGGTTTTAGGTTGTTCTCTTGTAATTTTCCCATGCCACCATGCAAGGGCGCTCGCCAATAGCTGGGGGGGACCAGCCTGGGGACTGGGCTGTGCTGCGCTGTGCCCAGGGTGCCAGTCATAAATGGATGGTGGGGGGGGGGGGGAGGGGGAACAGTGGAAGCTAAGATACCATGGGAACTGCATGATAACTGGGAAGAATAAAGGAGTTAACAGTTTCATGCGCTCACTCTGTTTGTTTTCTGCCCAGCATTCAACAAGGAGTCATCCCCCACCCATCCCAGATAGCACCCTGCCACACCATTGCCGTCCATGTACACTCCTGCTGCTTCTTGACTGCTGTTGCCCTCTGCCATGTCTCATTCCAATGTTTTCTGTGGCCGGTCCCACCTGGATCTGCATGGACCTTGCCCAAGGCTAGTTCCAGAGTAGCAGCCGCCTTTGCTGACTTAGACTATGGTGTCCGGAGTTGGTGAGCCCCGCTGCTGCTGCCTGCTTCCCCGTGACTCCCTGCTGTTTGTACGGAGAGGTTCCTGGTGGTTTTGCCCCTGCTCCATTGTGGCCATGTGATCATGCTGGAACTCCTTGCCGGCTCTGCAATATGGAAGTGAAAAGGGTGATTTCGGGGTGACATATTTTTCTCTGTTATTGTGTGGATGTTGGTTTGGTTTTGTTTTGCCTTTGTTTTTTAGTAAAAATTGTTATTTCATTTCTATTGATGCCTAAAATGGAAGAAAAATTCTCCAAATCAATATTAGTATAGATAAGGTAGAGAGCAGTCCTTTAATGAAAGCTTTCAGGTGCATGCAGTACATGGGCACACATGAGTGTCCAGGGGTTCTACAATTTTATAGTACTAATCCATCCAATCCAAGAACTATCCACCCCCAGGACCTCCTCAGATCTACCCCCCTGGCATGCCTCCATGGACTTGAGTCGGAGGTCTCAAGACCCCTTTTTTCCTCATCTTCCTCCCCCTCACATCATATGCGGCCTTTGAAGCTCCTCCAAGGTTCCTGGGCCTTCAAGGTTGCTTTGGCTATAAGGATATCTTATTATTCCAGTACAGGTGCATATGTCCCAAACAAGATATGCATGTCAGAGTCTTTTCCCTTGAAAAGAACATTAAACAAAACCTGAAGAATTTAGAAAATTCAATATGAAGCATGAGAACAGGGTTTGGTAACTGTCAACTGCTATTGTCAGTGTTAGAAACTATACAGCCATACCAAAAATACATATTTGCTACAAATCTTAAGAATTCTAAGGCATCACTATACCTTCTTCATAAGTCTCTTTTTTTTTTTTTTTTCAAATTTACAATAAGTCTGGGAGGGAGGGGTTTCTATTTCTTCTGAGGTCCTGCCTCTTTGACAACAGTGTCTTTAACCCAAGACACCATCTCACCTCTCGTATGCAATTTAACTAGAATCAGAGGTTGTGATTTTAATTATGTTGTACCTGTAACTAGTAGACAACTAATTGAAGTTGATTATACCTTATATCATGAGGTACCTAAATTACAAAAGGAATGAATGTTAGTCTCTTTAAAGCAATGCTTAGACACCCTGATATAGAAAAACTGGTCCAGGAAGTAAACAGAACGACCCAACGCATGCTTTGGCAAGTAAAACATGACTCCGAGAATATAAAATCCATCTTAACTGATACAGAACAAATTGGGGAACATAATTGGTGGGATATCCTTGTAGGTACTCAATGAGTTCTTCACCTCAGTCTTTACTGGCAGTCAGGCTTCCTACATCACTCAAGTCCCTGAACCCCTAGATGAGGGTTGGGGGAGCAAAGTCCCTCCCACTGTAAGTGAAGAGCAGGTTTGAGACCACTTGACAAAAGTGAATATCCACAAGTCTGTGGGGCCTGATGAGATGCATTCCAGGGTCCTGAGGGAAGTGCCTTGTAGGAAATAAATAAGGCCGTTTTATTACAAGCAAGAGTTTCCATAGTTGCCTCATGTCGAGATGCCTGGAAGTCATTTTGTTTGGGGAGTTGAGGAGTCATTTGGTGGTCAGGGACTGGTGGGCTGCCTGCAGTTACTTATTGCTGCTTGCAGGTCTACTTGCAGTTGTTTGTTGCTGTTTGCAAGTCTACTTACAGTTACTTGTTGCTGCTTACAATTACCTACAGTTACAGTGTGAAGGCGGACCAGAAAGCATGTAAGGCAGTGAGACCAGTCTGTGCTCACTGTCAGGGAACCATGTGGCCGGGACAGGGAAACAATATGATAGGTCAGGAAAGACAACCAATGGACTGCACCAGAAAGCAAAGAAAGGTGCGAGCCAACCCTGAGAGACCCAATTGAATTCAAGAAGAGGGCTATATCACCCTTTAAGGAAGAAAAGGAGCGGTGCTCGCCATGGGAGGAGCAAAGGAGTGGTTATGTAAATCAA